TCTGAAGTGTAAGGCTTCCCAGTCACAGCCACACCATCCACAAAGGCTTGGCTAAGTCCCTGTAGAAGTTGCCACCAAATTTTTAATGTGAATTACTCTTTGTAGAAAAGCCAGTTTGGTGTAGTAGTCATTTGTAACACCAATAGTAGTTTGTAGCATTAGGCTACAAACCAAGAAACCAACTGGGTCAAAAAAAACTCAGCTGGGTGACCTTGGGCCAGTCCCATTCTTCTCAGCCCTAGGATGTAAGCAGTGGCAACTCATTTCAGAAAAGCCTTGCCAAGAAAACTTCAGCAAGTAGTTCAGTCAGTTGCTAGGAGACTTGTGACCCTTTTTCACATGACAGTTGCAGCATCCCCATGTGAACAAAATTCAGAAATTTGGCAACTGGGTAATGGACTCACATTTATGACGGTTGCTGTGTCTTTGGGGTGGTGTGATCCCCTTTTGCGACCTTCTGATAAGCAAAGTCAAAGACTCACTCAAAACTCTGGTGGTTCACTTAACAACTATGGCAAGAAAGGTCATAAAATGAGGCAAAACTCACTTAACAATTGTTTCATTTAGCAACAGCAATTTTGGGTTCAATTGTAGTTGTAAGTTGAGGACTATCTGTATTTGTGAGTATAAAGTATACTTATGTTGCAAAGACTCCACATTGAAGATTAAGAATGATGCAATAGATTTGTGTCATTGTTCCCTAAAACTAACTCTTGGCACTCAAACCTGGTGCTGTTTTTTGAAAGAGATTTGACTATGAAAATAAATTCTGTTTGGAAAGCCTATTTTGTTTGTTTTAATTCCTACTTTGCATTCATTTTGGAGAATACTTAAAACATCATGTTCTCCAATTGCACTTGAGAACTTTAGAGTTGATCATTAAATATTGCCTGGCTTAAGTTAGTGTTTCCTCCACAAAGAATAATTACATTATTTTTTGAAGAATTGTGTTTTGTAGTATGCTATTTATCAAAGTGGTTTTTGGTTTTGAAATCTCTTGACAAAGCTGTTGATAGACTTCCTCATTAATAATTTTGGATTAATGAATACTCTGATTTTTTTTTCACAGCACTGGTATCAGGTTTTCAAGTTAAAAGCAATATGACTACATTACTTATTATTTTTTTAGAAAAAACTTTATTTGGGGGGTTGAAATAGTCCAGTTTCTTAATGAGAAGTGAAATTCTCTAGCCCCTATTAATTCCATATTTTCTGGGCTTAAAGGTTATGGTATATTTAAAATTAAACTTTTATTTACGTAATTCTAACAAATCAAGAATAAGAGAAAAAAACAAAAGATTTCAGAAATCTTATCACAAGGTCTAGAAACTTACTGTTTAAAATATAAAAATAGAATATAAAAGCTGTGGTTTTTTTTCAAAAATATTTTTTTCAAACTCTTCTGTATCCTTTTCCATTCATGCAGCCTTGAACTTTTCCTTCTGTATTTAAGCCTAAAAGGCAAACTAAAGGCCAGACATATATTTCTTATATTTTGGGTTTGTAGCTTGCCACGTGGCCCAAATTTGCACATTAGAGCAACTTTTAATGGTTCATTTAAATATCCCTTCTCTAATTTGAAGGTAGTAGTTGCTCTTCTGTGTTCCAAAATTTAATAAAATTAAGAAATGTTCAAGCATGTCTATAGTACTAAGTGATTTAATCATTATATCCTCACTTCCCTAAACCTTCAGGATCTGTTATTTTCGGGGGTGGGTGTAAAAATGGGGATGACACATAATTCCCGTTACCTTGGAATAATTGGGGAGAGTTCAAACATTTCTCTTTACCACGTATCTATGTTCTTTAGTTAATATAGGAACTTGTAACCTGTATTCCTCAAATCCATTTCTCTCACTTCCTGAAGCCAATTCTGACAGGCTTGACAAGAGTATCTACAATTAGATTTCCTACTGTACTGAGTTGGGAAACAAAACTATAGCGCATATAGCTAAAATACATTAAAGACAGTTTTAAATACATACACAACCCTTCTCTAATGGAAACCTAGCAAAAGATGGAGAATCCAGACCCTACTAACATGGAAAATCTGGCACAGTGCCATATTTTCATATTACCTTGCCAACTACAACCTTCCTTCACATAAAAAAAAACCTTGAGAAATGTAACTTTGGGTGCTGAATGGGATTAAGGTTCAACTTTAATTTATATCCAAGTTCAAATATTCTTGGATAAATTTCCGTTTACTATGTTATTAAAGAAGCATAAAACATACAATATGTATATACAAATCCAATTATCTTGAACGTGTCATATATATATATAAAATACACTTGTGTAAAAATGGGTGGAATGGCCATTTACTTGGCCTACTTTTTTTTTTTTTTTTTTTTTTTTNAAACAGTTAGAACAATCAATCAGTGGAACAGCTTGCCTCCAGAAGTTGTGAATGCCCCAACACTGGAAGTCTTTAAGAAGATGTTGGATAGCCATTTATCTGAAATGGTATAGGGTTTCCTGCCTAGGCAGGGGGTTGGACTAGAAGATCTCCAAGGTCCCTTCCAACTCTGCTATTGTATCGTATTAAAAACTATTACCATATATATCTATTACTACAACTAATATTAAAATATCAATTAAAATAATGGTTAATGAAAAATGCTACAGGCTAAATGATTGAAAAATTCTTTTTACACTTTTTAAAAATGCAAATACATTAACGTTCAATGTCCCATCATGTTAGTTTCCTTTGTACAGGTAGTCCTTGCGTTAGGACAATTGAACCCAAAATTTATGTGATTATGTGAGACATTTGTTAAGTGAGTTTTGCCAAGGTCACAACTGTGAAAAAACGGTCATGTCACTTTTTTCAGTGTCTTTGTAACTTTGACAGTAACTTTGTAACCTGCCACTAAGTGAACCATTGTAAGTCGAGGACTACCTGTAGCTCACCCTTTTACTGTACACATTATCTAAGAAGGCATCAACGTTTGAGCTAGTGATCATACATTTGGGAAGATTCTGCAACCTGATGTATGAGCAACTTATGCTATCCGAATGTGTTGTGTATCAGTGTATAAGCAATATCTTTCCACATGTAAAAGGTGCCTCTTAACGAGACTAATTTCGTTTATTCTTTTATTGAAAAATGCGTGCTTCACTGACAGGAGCAAGCAAAAGCTTAAGTACTGTGAACGCTAATCCCTCTTTTTTTTAACACCTTCCTTGGACTGACAGGTAAGAGAGAGAAACTCTAGCGGAACCACTGAATAGGATGGCCGGATGCCAACCCCCATTTCATCGATTCCCAGAAAATAGCTCAAGCGTCACTAGCCGTTACATAACGCTTTCATTAAATGGAGGCAAAAGCGGAACCTCGCTTTCCACGTCCGAGCTAAAATGGCACCACATCCGTCACTTTTGGCTAAGGCCCACGAGCTCCGTCATCCCCCATTGGCCAATTTAAGGCCGTCCGCGTCTCTCATTGGAGTAGGCAGGTTTCCGCCTCCCTGTCGTTGCTGCCCTTCGGCTCCACGTTTAATCGCTCCGAAAGGCTTCTTTTCCCTGAACTAGGGATCTCTGTAGCCGCTGCGTATGTCACTTCCTGTCCTGTCTCCGCCTTCTATTCCTTTCATGAAAACCTCGCGCGGCCTTCTCGAGCTCCGATTGGGTTACAAGCAGGTCGGTCACGAGTCGAGCGGTACGATTTCATCATACGCGCGAAGCTTCCGAAACTTCGCGCGACAGCCGATTGGCAGATCGCGACGTCAGTTACCTCCTGCCTCTTCGTCCTTTCCTCGCCCGTGTTACTCGAACACTCGGGTCGAAGCTCCACCTCTCTCCATGGGGCGGAGCCTCGCTCAGAGGCGTTTCCTGGAAGGAGTGCCACCACCGAGCTTTTCGTAATCTGTTTCAATTTTCTTCAAACCCCCCCCAACGCCACCACCATTCCCGCGGCAAGCCCCGCCTCGCTTTGCTTGAATAGTCGGAGGACACGTCACTCATTGCTAGTACCGCCTCCCGGAGTTTCCTTCAGGCCTTGTGATTGGGCAGAGCGGCAGGAGGCGGATCCCTCGGCTAGGGCCGTGTCGGCGCAGCTCCCTCCCTTCGCCAACCCTTTGGCGGTCACCGGTGGGGTTAGGCTGTCTCGTCACCGACTTCGCTGCCCCCGCCCCGCCCACCCCTCCGGCACCACTTAGGTTAGCCTCCCCCGTCAGCCAACATGAGCGGTAAGGAAAGGACCATCGTGGCCGGGCGGGGGGCGCCGCCTTCTTTCTTTTTCCCGCCCCGCCCAGCCCAGCCCCCCGGGCGGGGTGGGGGGGAAGAGACCCGAACGGGGGAGGGGTAACGATTGTGGGGAGGGGAAGGCAGCCACAGGAGCCGCGGCAGGGGAAGCCTTTTGGGGGAGGGGCCCCGAGGAGGGGAGCGGGGCTTGCGATGGAGGGTGGAGGAAGAAGCGGCCATGGGAGGGCAAGCTGCCTCAGGGAGGAGGAGGATCGGGCGGGACCAGGTGGGGGCTGGAATTTCTCCGCTGGAAAGAAGCGACGGAGCCGGATGGATCCTCCGTCTGCTTCTCCCGGGTGCTGCTGCCCGAGGTTGGGAGGGAAGCGCAGGCGAGGTCGGAGAAGGAGGGAGGAGGAGGATGAGGAGAGAAAGTAGCCAGGGAGACGTTAAAAGCCTCTGTGTGTATGTATATTATGGTCTCCCAATCCCACCTTGAATCCTCGCTTCGAAGCTTTAGAAGCCGGAGGGGGAGAGAGGGCTTCGGGCCATGTGCAAAGTGGCGCTCTCCCGGTTGAAAGGGTGTGGGGGGAGGGAAGGGGCCAAACTTGCAGTTCCGGAGTGAGGCCCTGTATGTTGACTTTCCCAGGAAGGCCGGAGGCACTTCTGAGAAACGATAAGGCCTTGATTGGTGCCGTGCCCAAAATATGAAGAAATCCACCCTTTCGGTAGGAAGCTTTGCTTCTGCCCTTAAGGAGAGAAGAGAGAGAAGGGAAAAGGGGGAGTAAAGAAGAAAAAGACGCAAAACCGCATGGACAACTCCAAAGATTTAACTAGGCCTCTTTTACTCCCACTCTCAGATTCCCACGCAAAGGGAGGCGTCGTCGTGTGTTCGTGTGTTTTTTAAATTATTATTGCTGTTAACATTGGCTGAGCTACTTTAAAAAAAAAAGCCTTTCGCTGGGCGAGGAATTTTAAAGTCGGAAATCGTTAGGTTTGGCAGGCTTTTGCTTTGTGTACACTGAGTGCAGAACTCCGTATTGAACCAGCTGCAAGTCAGAAGTTTGCATACTCCCACGCCCCTTGGGAGTGACTCATGCCACTACTTCCCCTTTTCCTCCCAGCCGTCCAGAGATGCCTTTTGCATTTCTGCCCTTTTTTTTTTACCCAGAGAGCCCCTCTCAGTAGGCCTTGCTCTGCTCTGCCCTGCAGCCATGGAGTTTAGGATGAAGTGATGGAGCTGTTTTGGGTCTTGGTTTTTTTTTTTAAAAAATAATAATAGCAACCCTTTGAGTATTTTCATGACAGAGAGGTTTTTTTTTAAGATGTCCAGCCGCCTTAAGACTCTTGTTAAGGGGAAGCTGAAAAAAAAATTGTAAACAGATCTCTGGTATTTATTTAAGATGAATTTCCGAGGCTTGAAATCCGGTTGGTTTTTGCATCATTGGCATGAGGAAGTGGCCAAGGCAGTGCGGGGTGAGGCAGAAGGCTGTGAATATGACGCAATACCGATATCCGCCTAGCAATTTTGATTCCGACCTTGTCCTGGGATGTTTTCTTTTTATGAATGTTGTGTATGTGCAACTGCAGCAATCAATAGCAAAAGCTGATTTGGTCATAAGAAGCCCCTCTGGATATTTTATTCTGGGTCAACAGCAATTCTTCATGATCACGTTGCCCCATTTTATTTTGCTTGTTGATGAGTGAGTGTGTACAGTTTATCCGGGATGCTAATGCAAAGTTGCTCTTTAAATTTTAATCATAGTTATTTGTTGTACCTTTATTCAAAGAGATTGGGAAGTAGTATATCATATCCTTTCTCATTCTTTAAACAGTCATGTAAGATGGCTTGGCTTGTTTACTGTTTATTAAAAATGTGAGCATAGGATTTTTGTAGTTACATTTGAATTGTTCACTGGATTACCCTGTCTTTATTGACACTTTATATTTCTGTGTTCTCTTGACCACATTTCCTCTTAGACCTTAACTATGGTGTAGTTCATTATGGTGCCAGATGACTTTAAAGAAACATCCTCAATGGTTTTTGTGTGAGTGTATTGCAAAGTATATCACTAAATGCATAATCTATAGTCACAATGCTTTACTTTGTGTTAAGTGTGCCACTTTATTTAATGTCTGCTGAAGATCTTCATTTTTAAATCTGTATTTTTAAATAAAAAATGCTGAAGATCTCTTGCTGCCCAATACTTAGTCCTCAACTTACTACCCCAACTGAGCCCAAAATGTATGTTGCTAAGCAACAAATTTGTGAAGTGAGCCCCATTTTATGACTTCTTGCCACGTTTGTTAAGTGAATCACTAAGTTGTTCAATTAGTAACAGTTATTAAGTGAAAAAAACTTCCCCATTGACTTTGCTTGTAAGGAGATTGCAAAAGGTGATCACATAACCCTGGGGCACTGCAACTGTCATAAATGTGAGTCAGTTGTCAAGCATTTGAATGTAAATCACATGACCATGGGGATACTGCAGTGGACATAAGTGTGAAAAATGGTTATGTCACTTTTTTCAGTGCCGTTGTAACATTGGTCAGTAAGTGAACTGTTGTAAGTCGAGGACTCCCTGTATGCTACATAGCATGGGAGGATCTAATGCTAATGCTAAATTTTTGAATAATCTGTGTCTTTCTGCTTCCTCTTGAAATAACTACATGCTTTATATAATTTATTTAACTCTTAGTTATTATTATTTTTTCTTTCTTATCCTCTAATTTCCATGCAGATCATGATATTTCAGAAGACATGGTTGTTATCAAGACTGAGAAGGTAGATGAAGGCTGCAGTAATGATGGAGGAAACTGTGAGGCCCATGTAAGTAAGAGTTCTGAGGAGAAATGTGTTGGGAAGGGGGAAAGATCTCAATTTGCAATAGAAAGATACCTTACCTAGTTTTTAATATGTGTGGTGATGGAACATTCTCTTCTTTTTCTTTGAAAAAGGTTGATTCCTCATTTTTGCAGTTAAAAAAAATCTTCCAGTGTTTTTGTAATCCTGTATAATTAAAGTCACAGTAGAAAAAGTGATGATAATAATCTTACAGTTGGGGGATGAGTAAATTTAAGACAGGTTAGGTTAACAGAATAACATAGTTGGAAGGGATTTGGAGGTCTTCTAATCCAACCCCATGCTCAGGCAGGAGACTTTATACCGCTTCAGACAAATGGTAATCCCTTCTTAAAAACTTCCACTGTTGGAAGCATTCACAACATCTGGAAGTTAAAGATTCATCAAAATTTTGTTAGTATTTCTGTGAGTGTTGGAATTTCTACTTTCTCATGAAAAATTGTTGGAGTGTAAAATTGTTTAATTCAAGTTCAAAGTGATTATTTCTAAGTAAAATAGTCTAACCTGAGTGATGATGGGTGTTTATTATATTAGAAGTTGGTTGTTGATGTCTTATGTTGGTTAGACCAGTGTGTACAGTCAGTGCTTTAGGAGATTGGCAAATCATCTATTAATCAGCTTCCTTCTTGTGCTCCTTTCCAATTGCTGTTTTATACTGTCATTTGGGATGGCCAGATACTTGACTTCTCCTGTCTTGCTCTTTATTTCCTGACAGGAGTCTCAGCCTTCTCCTCTGGCCCTGCTAGCAGCCACATGCAGCAGGATTGAATCTCCCAATGACAACTCTGATGGTTTACAGGTGCAACAGGGAGGCTCAAGTGAATTGGACCTTGCTTCTGCAACTCAAATCTCCCAAGGTGCAAATGGCTGGCAAATAATTTCCACTACTTCTGGAACTGATTCTCCTAAAGATCTGGGGAATAACTGCAATGAAGACAATGATTCATCATCCAAAAACCGAGCTGCCACCACAGGGCAGTATGTGGTTACCACCTCAAATATGCAGAACCAACAAGTTCTGACGGGCTTATCAGGAATGTTGCCGAATATTCAGTATCAGGTGATCCCCCAGTTTCAAACTGTGGATGGTCAACAGTTGCAGTTTGCCACTGCTCCCACTCAACTTAGTGTCCAGCAAGATTCCTCTGGCCAACTGCAGATAATTCCAGGAACTAACCAGCAGCTTATTACAAACAGGTCTGGCACAGGCAATATCTTGGCTGCCATGCCAAATCTTTTGCAGCAGGCTGTCCCCATTCAGGGAGTAAATGCTCTCTCAGGGCAAACCCAGTATGTCACTAATGTACCACTGGCTTTGAACGGCAATATCACCTTATTGCCTGTCAACAGCATTGCTGCCAGTTTGGCCCCCACTTCCCAGTCAGTTACTCTAAGCAATTCTAGCTCTCCAGAGAATAGCTCTCAGCCAGTTTCTGTCACATCAATCAGTTCCTCCAGCGTGGCTGCGACTCAAACCAGTACTGCCTCTTTTTTCACCAATGCTAACAACTACAGTGCCACTACCACCACCAGTAATTTGGGCATCATGAATTTTTCCACTAGTGGCAGTCTGGGAACAAATGTTCAGGTGCAGAGGACAAACAGCACTCAGAATGCCGATGCTGTGCAAGTTGCAGTCCAACAAGGACAACAGAAAGATATTGATCAAAACCACCAGCACCAGCAGATCCTAGTGCAGCCCCAACTTGTTCAAGGAGGACAAGGCAGCCAGACCTTTGCTCCTCAAGATGCCCTGCAGAACCTGCAGATCCAGGCACTCTCCAATGCTGGTCCAATCTTTATTCGAACGCCCACTGTAGGGCCAAATGGACAAGTCAGCTGGCAAACTATTCAGCTTCAAAATCTTCAGGTCCAGAATCCGCAAGCTCAGACAATCGCTTTGGCTCCCGTGCAGGGGGTGTCCCTGGGGCAGACAGGCACCAGCACAACACTCACACCAATAGCTTCTGCCTCGCTGCCCAGTGGCACAGTCACTGTAAATGCCGCTCAGCTATCCTCTGTACCGGGCCTTCAGACCATCAACCTTGGTGCCCTGGGATCTGGCATCCAAGTTCATCAGCTGCAAGGGCTCCCTCTCACCATAGCCAATGCCACTGGTAAGTAGGAGGTTCTTCTAGTGCAGGGGTGTCAAACTCGCAGCGTCATGTGACACATCCAGCCCATGGGCCGGGAGTTTGACATCCCTGTCATAGTGCACGTTGTTGATTTCCATGTACATTATTCATTTTAAATTGTTATTTTAAACAAAAGTTTTCTTTTCTGAAGGAATAAATTGGAACATAAAGAACAAGCGTACTGAAGGTTGGACATGAAGAAACGAGCTAAAAAAACTGCATTTCTAATTCTTAATTTTTTCACATGAAGAAATAACAATTTTTAAAAAAACATTTTTTCTTTTAAGGTGGCATAAATCTGTCAAAAGTTGAAGGGGCCTGCCTTCAGAAGTATGGTGAAGAGATATATCTGGTGTATTTTTAAAAGAAAATTCTGCCAAGAATTTTCAGTCACG